CCCCAAAACCCCAAAACCCCAAAACCCCAAAACCCCACCTAAAAATTCTAAAATAATTTCTAAACTTCCACCTAAACCTTATTTAATGGACCCAGTTTATTACTGCAAAGTGTGAGGGAACCGTACGTATAATTATACGTGGATGTGCGGAGAGCATACGTATGAACAGTTTATGGAGAAGTATGGGGGTGATATGGTAAGGGAACTCCAGGGATGGAAAGAATCTAGGAAGGATGAACTGGTTGGTAAGTGCCATATAGATGCTGGAGAAACTGAGAAATATCTTCTTAGAAGTGAAGAAGCCTTTGGTCGGATCTTACTTGCTGTCTGGTCTGAGGCAAAGGAAAGAGAAAGAGCTTACAACCAAAGCGAGTATTGCTCCATTAATATTGAGTGCAAGTTATTCACCAGAAAGTTCAAATCATTAAGACTGCCCAAAATTGATCCTTATTTCACCAATGTAACATCAAACAAGCTTAAAAAGCCTTATCTTGAGTATTTCATGCCTATGAAGCATAAGCTGCGTCGTTTGAAAATTTGATCTCGTACCCCACATGCTAAGCTCGGATCCCATTTATCTCTGATAACGAAGAACTCTTTCAGAGTCTGGGCTCTAAATGTGATACGTTTTACAGTTCCAATGGCTCATCTCAATAGGATCCTTGTAGCTTACATGACATCCAAATATTTGAATTTTGATCAATGTAGGATTGTATGAAGCAGTAACTTCGAGCTGCCTTCTTGCTTCAGTCACGGTGTGCAAAGAAAATCTACTATAAATACACTAAGTCTTACAAACTGTTATCTCCCAGGTAAAGATTGATTATCTTAGCTTAAAACCCGATACTATTTTCTATATGAAATACTCTTCCTAACTTTCTGGTAGGTCCTAGCCCAACATTCCACGAAGACAGCCAAGAGAATCTGAAGGAATACTTGAAAGCTCTGCTCCCAGAGGGCAAGATTGTGATTCGTAAAATTTAGAGGTAATTCATCAAAGAGTTAATTCAATAAGAGACAGCCTATTTGGGGTTTTGGGGTTTTGGGGTTTTGGGGTTTTGGGGTTTTGGGGTTTTGGGG